TAGAACAATTAGTATTTCTACATGATAATTTATAAATTAATTAATGATATTTTATATACCTATATTTTAAAAATAAATAATAAATATTATGTATTATGTATATTTCAATTTTCAATTTTATTTGTTTTCTTAATAATTAATTATTAAATTATTATTATTTATTGTGTACCTATGTAAAAAAAAATAAGAAGAAATCATCTAAATTTTATTATAAATACAATTACATAAACTTAAAACTTTAAAAGTTTAAATGTAGAATAGGTAGGTAATACAAACATTTTAAATACAATAGTAATTTATTACTAAATACTAATTAATAATTGTGGTTGATTTAATTTGTAGGCTGGTACAATGTACATGATAAAAAGTATTGAGTTCGAGTTCGAGTTCGACTTAAAATGATTCTAGGTTCGGTTCGGTTCGGTTCGGTAGAAAATATTACGGTTCGGTTCGGTTCGGGTTCGAAAAAATAATTTAAAGTTCGGTTCGATTTAAAAAATCAGCGTTCGACCCATCACTAGTAGATATATTATATTATGTTATAATAGGTACATATAATAATTTGAACTGTGAACTAAAATTATGAGATACTATTTGTAGAAATTCAAACCATTAAGTCTAATTTAAATCCATTATTATAACTATTTATTGTGTATAGCTTTCTCTAAACCAATCATTTTTTTTTTCATTTTGAATTTTTGAGTTTACTTAGTAGAGAAATATTCAAATATCATTTAGTTTTACATAATTAAGCCATTAATAATAGCGGAGTTTCCATATACCTATTCCAGGTAAGAAAATAAAAGCGGAGAAGTTAAAATTACCCGGTATTCTGGCAGAGTTTACAATCGCCCTACAAATAGGTTAGTTTATATTATTGATAAATTATAAGCAAAATCATATAAAATAAAAAATACACATAGGTAGGCAGTAAACGTATATATATAAAACATCATTTAGATACATCTTTTGAAAACGTATATTATATTATACGGCAATACAATCTCGTAAAATACGGATTTATTAAATTATGATATTACTTTACAGAATAATAAAATTTTCAATCTCACATTAAAAACAATGTCGATAATTATTTAATTTAAGTATTATTAATTAATTAATTATTTTATTTCATTTCATAAATACATATAAACACTGGGCCACACGGAAAATTTGGGCTATATATTAGAATAAAATTTAAATGTTTTCATCCTATTTTATTACTAAGTAATATTAATATTACTAGTATTATTAATCCGTTTAAGACAAACTCCATAGGACATTAGGACTGGTTAAAAAACGTATAGTTCTGGAAATTGTTCATCAAATTACAGGATAAATAAGCATATTATATTATTATGAAGCGAGATTACTTATTTATGCTGTATTTTTAACAGTATTAATATGACGTGTTCTGCCATGTACTTTAATAATTTATATTAGTGACTATTTATGCTGTACTTAACTCTTTTGGCTTATTAACCAGTCTCAGTAGTTAGTTATAAATATGAAATACAATTTTCAGTTCTGGAAAATATGATCCGACCTGTTGCATCAGACTTACCATCTGGAGTTGTGAACGGGGATATCAAAATATGTAAGCGGACTAGAACAACGGAAAAGAATGTAAAATTTAAATTATTTATTTTATTTTAATATTACATGAAGTCTTATATTTCTATAATGTACATTTGTAGAGTACAATTCAAACTCCAGTACGATGTCCGGGTGTAATAAAGTTTGGAAAATTTGAAGTGGAGACATGTTATTCATGCCCATTCCCGCAAGAGGAGGATTCTCCGAGATTAATATTTTGTGAATTTTGTTTAAAATACACTAAATGTCAATCGATTTTGGAAAGACAAATGCGACACTGTAATTGGAGAACACCACCAGGCACAGAGATCTACCAAAGTGGAGATTTAAGCGTTTTTGAAGTAAATTAATTTTATGAAACAATTCACTAGAGATAAACTACCTACACAATTTTTTATTCATTTTTCCAAACAGGTTGATGGAAAAGTAGACAAAACTTATTGCCAAACACTATGGCGATTGGGGAAATTATTTTTGGACCTAAAAACTCTGGACTATGGCGTTGAACCGTTCTTATTTTATATTGTGATGAAAAACGACGGTTTTGTAAGTGTACCTAAATAAATACATTTTAAATTGTAATTTTCGAACTGAAAACCAATCTTGGCAGGGTCTGCCCTTCGCTCAAATCATGTGACTAAACGCTTAAAAGAATCATTGAGCGATACTATAACAAAATAATATGTAACGCTGTCAATCCAGATTATCTTAAGTCCATACATTAATATATATATATTTATGTGTATGTGTGTTTTTGTGTGTCTGCGCATAATTATAATTCGCCCCATTAAATAACTTTAAATGTTAATACAAGTCAATAGTCCAAATTTATTAGTAGAAGTATTCAATTCTGTCTACTGTGGCAAGACAGTAATTCACTTTTTATTTTTTTTTTTATAGTTGTCTACCATAATTATATTGTAATAATGTTCAATTAAAAATGTTAAGGGCTGTCATTTGGTTGGTTATATTTCAAAACTAAAACAAAATGAAGAAAATTTTAATGTAGCTTGTATCGTTATCATGCCACAGTATCGAAGACAAGGGTATGGACGAATTCTCATCGAATTCAGTAAGCGAAAACTATGTATACTTCATTAATGATCATACTTAAAGTTCTGACGCTTACCCTTATTATAATATTTTGCATACCTACTTAAATGTTTACAAGATAAGTTCAGTTATAAATACAACTTTTATGAAATGTCTTTACAGTTACAATAATATGTTTATTTACAATATTATTATTTATTAGATTATTATACTAGTAGGTACTACTTAATTCTAGAATTTTTACAGAAAACATTAAAAAAAATTTACCATATTATTTACACTAAGTACCAACATTTGTATTTTATTTGGTTCCGGGTGAATGTTGTTTTGCCTGTACCCAAAAAAAAATTGAACACTATTTAGTATTATAGTTTACAATTATTATATATATAAATTTAAAGTAAATTCATACCTAATTAATTAAGTGGTGCAGTTTTGCACAGCGGTCTTTTTGCATATGTGTGTCTATAAATCCATTTCTTCATCGGGTTATTCGTTGTCTTCGTCTATGCTAGTGGTCCATTGTCCATCTTTATACAACTCCACGTCGTCGTCGTCGTCATCATCACAAATTAGTTGCTGGTTTAAACACGATGTGCCTTGACAATTTTTACATATTATGGAACATCGCATTCCCGCTTTTTTACAGGCACAATTTTTCTCGCATGATTTAGTGCAAGCACAACTTATAACCGATAGAAGGGAGTCTGTTGCTGGTGGTTTCTTTGTAAAGATCGGTATTATTTTTTTATCTACTTTTTCCCAGCCCCAGTCTAACGGATAATATATTATAATATTATAGTATTAAGGTAAATGTAATAGTCTTTAATTTTAGTTCTATATATTTTGGTCGTCAGTTCCAAGGATAGTGATTTATAAATAAAAACATTGTAAAACCACCATTTTGAAGGCGGGGGGGAGGTTGGAAGGGTAAGCACGAAGGGTAAGCGTCAGAACTTTAAGTATGATCATTAATGAAGTACCTATATGGTAGGTGTATGCCAATATTCAGCTTTCGGTGAATTTTTACATTATGTTCGAACTTGGTTCGTATTATCAACCGTATACAGATATAACACCGCCGCATCGTACATAACAACCACCTTAAATCTAATGATAAAGAATATAAAAAAAATAAAAAAAAGTATATTATGTAAAAACAAAGGGCTATCATTTTTCTTATAGGTCATTTTGGTTTAAAACTATAAATTTTGGCTAAAAAAAAATTTAAAAAAAAAAGTTTTTTTAAAACTACCACGTTAAAATTGTAGTGATTACAATATTATATTCTTATAGTAAATTTTACGGTCTTTAATTTTTATCCTATACTTTTTTGTCGTGAGTTCAATGGTTAACGAGTAATAAGAAAAATAGTGGGAGGGTAGATTTCAGCCCTTTTTGGGGGGTGGAGAGATACGCACAGGGGTTAGGCGTCAGGACTTTTATGCCGGGTTGCATAAAAGCGATGATTAAATTAGTTTAATGGTTTGTTTTAATGAATGATTAAAATACTTTTAATGAACCGATTAATGTACTGATTAATTAACCGTGTTGCATAAAAGATGTATTAAACTACTTTTGGTTTATACCTAGTATGTGGTTTTTGTCTTTTTGATAATTTTGTTATCACCAAATTGAGAAGATAATATTAATTATTAATACAAATCACGATTAAAGATATATATATATATATATATATATATATATCTTTAATCGTGGTACAAATTGAAAATATACTCATATATACAGGGTGTATCTTATGTCATTGTACGCGGGGTTTTTTGACGATTACAGAACGATGATATGGAATTTCGTTTAAAACGAAAAAAGACGTGTTTCTTTATTTTTAACAAGCAATTTTTTTATAACAATTTCAAAATTTTTAAACACGCAGGTTTACCAATAGCAAAATCAACTTTTGTTTTTCAAATGGTAACCACTATATTTTTTAATGGATTCTGGTAAAGCTTTTTTTTCTGAACATTTTGGTAGTCAAATCGTCAATTTTGGTTCGCTAGTTTATTAACTATGGTCCTTAATATATAATATATATATAATATAATATATAATATTAGTATATAATCATTAATATATACTATCTAGTCTATATTGTATAATATTTTATGCCTACCGAGAAACGATATTCATAATTTCCATATTACTGTTGCATATAACCTGAACATTAAAAGAAAAATACCCTTTTCTGTTACGAAACCGTTCACCAATATCACTATTAGGAGACTGTATCCGTATATGAGTGCAGTCTATAGCACCAATAACACGTGGGAAATTTCTTGTTTTATAAAACCCTGTTTGAACAATACTTCTTTCATGTGCGGTCCGAGGCATGTTTATAAACTGAGGGTAAAGACGAGCAATAGCAGTTGAAACTCTTTTAATAGTTCTACATACAGTAGATTTATTAACTCTGATATGATCACCAATAACTGCCCGAAATTAAAATTGTATAACTAATATATTTATATCTATCGCTTTAAAATGTAATTATTTAATTAGCGAAACTATAATGTTTATGCTTATTATATTGTGATAAAATTTTATATAATTTTTACTTGAAATGTTCCAGTAACATAATAACGAAGAGTTATTAACACTTGTACTTCTGGAGACAGTGCAACATTTCTTTTTGTTTCGTGTTTAACATCTTGAACAATAAGATGCATTAAGACACCAAAACTTTCTTTTGAAAGCCTATTAATTAAAAGATAATATTATTAGATATAGATGCAATTGCACATATACCTATATATATAATATATAAAGCAGTGGCGTGCCGAACTGACAAGCAGACCTAAGGCAAACTATACAATTTGATCCCACTCACCACCACCAACAGTTTTTTCACTATTTTTTTTATTATTCAAAATAATAAATGTTATTAAGTTTTTTAGGTATACGTTGCACATCTATATTAACACTAGTGCTTGTGTGTCATGTACTTTATTAATTTGATGTGTGTAATAAACAATCATGTGCATGTACCTTAGTACTTACCTATAGTGTTAACCCATTGATGTATATATATATATGGTATTTATACCATGTAGGTATAAAAATGTACTATTACTTATGTTTTAATGAATTATTTTCCTAAATTATATTATTGCTAGTACTTATATACATACAGCAACCTATTAAAAATAATATGTGCCAAATCTCTAGGTACAGTTAGTTATATGGGAGGGGAGGGGTGAGGTTTATATTAATAATTACAATTATATACTGTCCATGTTGTAATGGGGGTTTAACCCCACCCACTACCCATGTGTATGGTTTTTTCTAGGCCTATGGCTAGGCTGAATCCGGCCCTGAATATAGTTTTATACTTATATAGACCAATATATGTGTGAAACAAGTTCAAACAAAAATTAACATATGCTCATGGACGTCATCGATCTATTTTCTCTATTCAACGAGTTGTATTTTCATATGACGTGTATTTTGGTTTTTTACGACGGTTTGTAATAGGTAATCAAGTATCCCTAGAGGACGCCTAGGTATCTATGCAACGTACAAAAACCAAATTTTGTGTTCAAGAGTTCCAATTTTACGTAGATAGTAAGTAATCTTAATTAATAGAGTGAATTTACCTATTATTTAACTTAAAAGTAAGAACATTATCTGGGGCCTGGGCTTATCATATATATTCATTATCTCGTGAGATTTTTTTTAAAATTATTTTAACATGAAACTTGAGACATTTTAATATGTGACATAAGAATTTTAAAATTGCTCATTCCTAGGTAGTTCATCTTGATTATTGGCGACCGTTACGATTATATATACTTTTATTTACTTTTATATACTTGTCTATGACGATACTATCCTACAATGGAATTTTTAAAGTAATGCCGTGTTGGTAACTGTGACGTCAGCCGATAGACAAGATGAACAGCTAGACGGTTTATACCTATTAATAAATAATTATATTCAATATACATATTTGATATTATGAAGTCGTGTACCTACTCGATTACGATACTATACGATACACGATACACCTATAGCTGATTTTATATGCTGTAATACCTATATATTATATTTTAATATTTATAATTTATGTTTATAAACGTTAAACATATTACCTACCTAAAACGGCATTTAAAATCAAAGTCATCAAATTCTTCGAGAGGATTTGATCTACCTCGGAAAAGCCTTGGTCTTGGTAGATGATACAACATATCCATGATAAATTCATCATCGGAATCCGATGTACGTATTTCCGAACTATCTGACATGATTATACCTATCTATATATTATTATATATCAATAGGTACTAAAAAATTACTGTAGATCGATAATAGATGTATAATGTTAATGTATATAAGATGCAAATTTTAATAACTAGTAGGTATAACTCGTATCGGTAGGCATATTAGCTATCTTGAGATTTGAGAAAAAATTATAATTGTGTGATAAACCGTTGCATAAAAATTTAGTGAGCCGAAATCTGATCACTAATTTAATGATCTGGTAACCTCCAGTTTAAGGAACCAATAAGTTTAATGACCGTTTAGTGAGCCATTAAATAATTTATTCATTCAATAGCGCGCTATTGGTTCATTAAATGTTTAATGAACGTTTATGCAACCCGGCAATCCGGCCGCGGCATTAGTATGTCAATTGGAAGGTACATTTTAAGTGTGTACCAAAATTCAGTTGGGGGTGAATTTTTTCCGATCTTTGTTGATTTTTGATCTAATTTGACTGGACTATACGTGGTCAAATCATAATAACTACATATACCTGCTGGCTGCTGTTACGAATAATGACGACGACGACGACGACTACGGGTCTACTTCAGTGGCGTATTTATGGTGGGGTTGATAAGGGGGATAGATCCCAATTGACATTTTTTTTTTGTTGTAAAGTTAAGTTTTCTCATTTTCTGTATTTTTTCAATATGATATTACTTTTAAGTACCTATGTCTGTTTTCTAAATGTTCTAGCCGTGGTAATTTTACCGCTCTGATAGTATATACTATACTCCACTATTAGTCATTTGCGGCCTATATATCGGACAAAAAATCATATACCTCTATGGTAGTATGGTGTAAGTACTGTAATTTTTACTTTTCTGAGAATTATTTTTCATGCATGAGTGTTAATAACAAACGCTATAAACAGTTGGTAAATAAACAAAATTACCATGAAAACCGTAGATTTACCATAGACCCTGGGTTTATTTTTAGTGACTGAAAAAAATTTATTCACCTTTGTGTTACAAGCTTTAGATATTTATTATAAGGAGTTTATCCAAATATTCATGAACTCTTGAAAATATTTTTTAGTTTCCTTGTATCAACTGCTACACAGCTGAACGAAGTTTTTCAAGTTTTTATTAAGTAGGTACCTCTATTAAGTCTTACCTGATAAATAGTATGATGGAAGTAAATATTTTATGAATATTTTCATATCTAATATTGAATTTAGTAATTATTATATACTTTGTTAACTAGACCGATTAGGGTTAACCTTACCTAACCTAACCTAACCACCTATGGCCCGTTTTACAATCATAGTTTAAACCTGGGTTACACTTAACCCACTGATTTTACCAGCCGAATTCCGAGGTTTAACCTATTGTAATACGGGCTCTTATTTCTTAATGTGTTGGCTGTGGTCAATACAATAATAATGTCAGATGAGGTTATCGATGAACTGAGGATCCAAAAAAAGAGAAAACTGGTTTTCGTATTATAACTGTTATTAGATTCTGAGTGAAACGATGAATGTATTGATTTTACAATGATGTGTGTTTATTTTTTATTTTTTTTTGTGTCTGTCATCACGTTTTAGGACAGTAAAAGTGCTTGGATTTTCTTCAACAGTAGCTTTTCTGATAGGAAAGTGAATCTAGTTGGTACTTTGGGGGGTCAAAAATAAAAAGTCCTAGTAGTTTTCACAATGTCTATAAGAAAGTCAAATTAAATATTTATGAGCGTTTGAAATTCAAATTTTTACAACATTGGATATTTACTCGATTTCTCAAGTAGCGATTTCCTTATTTTGTTGTAATTCTAAAACGAATAACTGTAGATACATGAAAGTTTCACTGAATGTTCATATTAGCATTTTCTATACACTGTACAATTTTGAAAATATTTTGACTTTTTTTGAGCTGTTTACGGACATTTTCAGTATTCAATTTTTTTAGTTTTTTTTTTTCTATAAATATCAATAAAGTTTTATCTGTTCGGCCAAAAAGTGTAAAAATTTAATACAAGGCTCTTGATATATTGTTAGAATAGCAATTGAAAAATTTTAAAAATACATAGGCACAATTTTGTTTTATAAGCATTTAAAGATCGAATTTTGACAAAATTTATCAAAATCTCGAAAATTATCAATCATTGTAATTAATAAATTATAAAATGTTTAGTTTTCATAGCTAAGGATTGCAAATTTAAAACAAAGGTTAACATAAATAGTTTATACTTTAACCAAAAAATCTAAAAAATGTATGAACACAGTTATTTTTTACAGACATTTTAAATTCAAGTTTGCACGAAATTACATAATAAAAAACCTAGAATAACTATTTTAGTTATTTTGTTGTGATTGTATAATATTATTCGTGGGTACTTGAAACTTCTAAAGTGTACTACTATATATCTATGATAGTATCAGGGTTTGTTGTTGGTGTATAACGCGTTATAAGTATCTAATGGATGTTGTGATATGATTAATTTGGAATTTATTATAGGTACCTATTATATGTCAATTTTTTTTAAATTCCTTAGATATGTATAAAATATGTCGTAAACCTAAACTGACATACCGTCTCCACTCAGAATCGTTTTTCTTATACAATGATATAATATCATTGAATTGAAATATAATACCATCCATAATACAGTGACCCACTTGTAACCTACTGTACAGCAGAGCGACACCCACTTGCCCACCTTTTTTATAGTTAAGGAATGAAAATTTAAACCAAGGTTCCTCGAACATAGTTCATATTGTAACCAAAAAAATCTAAAAAATATATAAACACTCAAACTAATTTTTTTTATAGACATCTGAAGTTCAAAATTTGGAAGAAATTTATTATTTAAACGAAGAATAACAATTTTAGTTATTTTGTTATAATTTAAAAATATTATTCCTGGGTACCTACTTTAAATTCTTAAAATATATTATTATATTTTATAGCAGGGGTGACCAACATGACTATGTACGTGATCCACACCCAGACTGCAATTTTTTGTTAAATAATATTATTATTGTGTATTAATAAAATTTTATTCACGTGAATCACTTTATTCAACAATGAAAATAATTAAGTAAAAATATTGTATATATATAATATAATATTACCACACACAGGCCATGGTACCGCGGTGTCTACGGTTAAGACTATAATACGACTGCAACAATATCGTCAGTCCCCGGTCCGACAAATTCGTAATTTTTCACGATGTCATTATTTATCGTGCACAATATATAATATTATATTATTAAATGTCCTCTCGTAGGTACCGAAGTGCAGCACCGCGAGTACATAAGTCTCTGCAGCATTGTTTGCCTTGCATATTATACGTAGTGCACGCTCATACTATATATACATCTATATATTATTAATTATTATATACACATAGGTATATATATATATACTGGGTGATTCTTTTATCAAACAACACTCATTATTTCAAAAAGTGTAAATTTTTTTGAAGATATTTTTTACATAGTTTCAAGTCGCTTATAAAACAACGTTTTTATTAAAAAATTATATTTTTAATTATTTTTTATCCTTATAATTTTTTAAGTTTTTTACTTTTTTGAATGACAACATAGGGTTTTAATTTTATATTCTAAAGTAGAATATTTTTCTTAGTATTTTGATACATGAAAATTGAATTTGGGGCGAGTAGTTTATGAGTTATAAGTATTTAAAGTTTAGACGAGCGGTGAAGTGGACAAACATTTCGCGGGGTAACCCCGAACCACTCCACTCCGCTCGTGTAAACTTTAAATACTTATAACTCATAAACTACTCAACCCAAATTCGATTTTCATGTATCAAAATACTAAGAAAAATATTCTGCTTTGGAATATAAAATTAAAACCCTATGTTGTTATTCAAAAAAGTAAAAAACTTAAAAAATTATAAGGATAAAAAATAATTAAAAATATAATTTTTTAATAAAAACGTTGTTTTATAAGCGACTTGAAACTATGTAAAAAAATATCTTCAAAAAAATTTACACTTTTTGAAATAATGAGTGTTGTTTGATAAAAGAATCACTCAGTATATTATTATAATAATACAATGTTGTACGATCGTGTATATACCTACTTATATATATTATATATATAAATATAAATACATTATATACATATTATACACAGCCATAGGTATGCGACTGTAATAATATAACGTCCTTATTGTTAGCGCGCGAGCGGGTGAAAGCGCAACGGACGATCAATTCGCAATAGCTGCACACTGCAAATACAATATAGGAGCGCAAACTTTCTACGCCTCCGACTTGCGATTTATAGGTAAAATATACGTCGCGACGATGTAAAATATATTATATTATACTCACTACCGCCACCGCAACCAGATTTATAGACTTATTCTGTTTGGGTGCCCAGCGAGTAGAAATCGCACGCGATGTTGCCGTGATTTAAAACGTATACGACGTATATACAGGTACGCGTTTTCCAGACTTTTGAACTATCTATTTGACGACGACAGCTGCGAGTACGTACTTACTTACCTATACCACGGTTTATAACAGTGCAGTATATGCCTACCTAACTGCAACCGTATTATAATATAATATATACTGCTGATTGTTATACCTAGGCAACTATGGTATTGGATATACGTATATTACACTACTCGGCGTAAATGTCCTATGCATAATTCATTTACATTATCGGCCATTATAATAATATGCATCCATCGGGTCGCGAAAAACGATTTATAACTTCTTTTCGGTTTTAATGATATTATAATATCCATAGAAAACGAGATCACGATGTTTCAAGTATAAATATGTTGTGTAATAAGACTCGTGTGACGCAAACTGAATTCAAAAATATGTAAAGGAGACTGTGAAACATAAGTAACCGAGTTATGGTGTATCCGGTTTTGTGAATACACGCGCATTATATTATATTTATTTATTTATTTGCTTTTTTTTTATATATGACACTATTATTATATTATTATAACTATTAACTATACGGTACCTATATTATGTAGTCTAGCAAAATATATGAAAT